ACCACATATCATCTTCTCAGTTACTCTTCAGCATCCTACACACAGGTCACTGCAGCAGAAGTACTGCAGTAATGACGCTAAAAAGTGGAACTGCCAGATACCCTTTAATTTCAAAGATAAGTAGACATTTACTTCTTCCTGATTTTTTCCTTTTTCAAATACTATATAGTAAAATTATGTTTATGACAACTTGAAGATCTGCATTATTTCTCAGGGAACTGGGAGAACTCCACACACTAATGATTCAGCTACAAAACCAACACCTACGTTTTTCTGAAAGAGCTCTGATATAGCAATATTTAGGCAAGGATTGTCATTATTTAAAGAAAACTGAAAAAGCTGATCACAAACTCTGTTTACAAGCAACAATAGTTGAGAGGTAGGCCAGCCTAAACACATCAGGAGATTGCTTCAGTTCAATCTACAGACCTTGTGTTCTAATTAAAGCCAGTGCATGTGTTTCAATAAAAAAGGCATCTTTTCTTTACATTTATGCTGTCTCAATCTTTTTCTTTTTATTTGTCGTTCTCTGAATCTCACGCATTGAATATATCTTTTCTGAGAACAAAATCTGTACTGCAGGCTGCATATTTTTTAATCAGATTTACTATTTACAAGTATCAAGAAATGCTGAGGATTTTCCCTATTTTTGACTTCCAAGCCTGTAAATTGTTCATATTTTCATAAACTAAATCACAGATCTTTCAAAGTATAACAACAAAAGCTAAAGGCAAAATGCCCTATGAACGTAGGGAGTCAGAGAATGGGAAAAGACAACAATACTGAATATAAATTTCAGATTAAGCTCTTACTGCTACAGTTGAGTTCTGAAGTTCATGGCAAACATGCATTTGATTTCAAAAGGGCAAATAGTCAACACCCTGACTTCTAATTGTTCTGAAATATCTCCTGGCAGAAAGAAAACTAAGAGTAATATATCATTTTACTACAATATTCAGACTTTGGAATAGAAATTCTTAGAGTTTTTTTCATGAAAAATAACATGCAATTTGAAAAGTAGAAAAGTTCACATTAAAAAGCAGAAAAAACCCTACGATTTGCTTTTTTGTCATCACAGACAGCACTTTAAAAACTTTATACTCTGCTTTACATCTTGCCTGATAGCTTTTCCTTAACAAAATGTTATAAATTAGCTTAACTTTAAGATTAATATTTCACTCTCAAATACAAGGAATAAGATTTTCAAAGCTTTATATTACATTTATCTCAAAAAAATAAAAAGGAAAGACAAATTGTGAAGAAAAATCATATACAGAAATAAGAATGTATGCATTATTCAAATCAAGGCGCAAATCTGAATAGTAGATAAGATTTTCGCTAATAGACTGATTATATTAATAGCTATTTGAATATCAGCTGTACTGTGAATAGAGTTGCCTAAAATCAAATCTAACTGAAGCAACATCTGGCATACTAAAGGTCTCACAAAAGATATATCTGTAATTTGCAAAATTAGTTCCTTTAAAAGTGCGAAATTTTCATCGCTCATCATATTTTTAAGAGTATGAGCTCAGAACTTTACAAACAACAGATTTCATTAAATCCCCTTGCTGCATCTAAAGGCTATTGCTCACAGACAAAAACACTGATGTATTTTCCATCATCTTGAATATAGCAGTAAGTCTGGAAGTAAAGGCATAAGCCACTGCATATATCTGCCAGCTCCCTGCAAACTGTGCACCAAATTATAATAATAAGGAATCAGGTACTTTTAGAACAGTGTTCAGGCTGAGTTACTCCTTGTCTCATTCTACCTCAGATTTTGAGAGGACTATTCACCAACATCCATCTCCACCTGCAACACACACAAGATGTTTCAAGTACTAATCTGATCAGCACTTACATTAACTAGAACTAGTACTTCAAATGAATTGGGGAGATTTTTGTAGCGACATTTAATGACATTTTCACCTACAAAGCATGCAAATGTTTTAGTGTCATTAATGACTAGGTTTTGAAGGATCTACAGGCTGTATTTTATTAGCAAAACTACATTAATTTCCTACGCAAATCATTACAAAGAGTGAGAAGTATTTATCATACTTTATAAGGTAGTGTGATTTTCATGTGACAACTTATGCATGCATAGCTGGAAAATGCAAATTATCTACTAAATTGGGTACTGGTACCATTATGTTTTATGAGTTGGAAATAGTGTATGCATAAATGAGAACTTGGAAAAACTGTTAAGATATATCAACATACTTTACTGCAGTAAATGCTAGCAAAATTGCAATCACTATTTAAATCTTAGTTCTGAAGCGAACTCCACAAAGATAGACCGCTATGACAAGAGACAGCTCTGTGCATAAATAGAGCTTCAGAGATTATTTTTATCTCCCTATTTTATCAGTGTAATGGGACAAATAATCCTCTGAGGATAAATTGATTGAACAACATTAAATTTCTCAAAATAAAATGAACAGCCAGAACACATGAGGGGCTATCTGTTACAGGTAACATTATGTATTATTTTATAGTAAGACTCTTCCACAGAACTTTTTTTTTTTTTTGCTGTTTAAGAAGGAATTCTTAACTTTAATTGATTTTATAATCAGTGGCATGTTGGTTACTAACACTAGTATATATAAACATTTCCACAAAATTTGACATGGGAGTTTTATATAAAACAATTTAAAACCAACAGGGATTTCTTGACATCTCATTTTTCCTTTTCATCTAAAAGAAGTTGAAAGAATAAATTTTATCACCCACGATACTTTAACTCTTCATGACCAAGAGTACATTAGTTAAAGTAGTCCTGTGCAAGACAGAGAGTGTGCTCAACTGCAGCAGAAGATTGTGGTCTCAGACTTGCAGTTATTAAATACAGAGAAACACTATCCACCTTGTGTTCTTTGTCCTAAAATTACACTCCTTTCTCAAAATAATACATCATCACAGCCCCAGTTGAGCAATGGGATGTATAAAAGGTAACCAGCTTCTTACAAAGTTTCTTCAATTTTATTTTAAATTTTTACTAAAACTCAGATTTTCCTGTAAAATTGTACATTTTTACTTTTCATAATTCGAGAATAGTCTGAATTTTTCTATCTATATGTATTTCTACATATAGAAATCGATAATTATCATATCTGTTTGAAAATACATATACATTTCACCCCACACTGGTGATATGAGGCACTAGTACAATGAAGAGAAATTCTGACGCATTTGAACTTCTTACACACAATAAAATATATGACCTCCATACCGCTCTGTACTACTCATTTCATAAAAAAGAATAGCTATATTATGCGAAAGTTTTTTCCTTAAATCAGAGATACAAAAGCAAAATATTCACAACATTTATAAAATTGGAGATTATCCCCATTGAAAGACCACTGAACAGTATTTATAAGACTTGATGCAATATTTCATAACTAGAAAATACACTCACTTATTGTAATACGTGCAAAAGACTGAAGTGGAGTTTAGAAGCCTTCCTAAATAACATAGTAAAGAGAATAAGGACCTGCTGAGGACTTCAAAGCATCATGGTTTTAGACAAAAAAATCATTTATATAGAACTTGTAAAATTATTGATATAGTCTTTATTTTAAAGAGATCTCTGCAAGACAGTGAAAGACATTTTCCTCAGAAGAAAAGTAACTAGGCAGTGATTTAGAAAAAAATTTTGTAATACCTATTATTTTATAAGTTTATGCAAATATAAAAATACTAAAAAGTTATGACACTTACCCAGGTCAGGCCCCACGTTCTTGTTCAATTTTGTTTTCAAGGACACCCTCGACGTGTTATTTAGCTGTATTAAGCACTTGAAAGTAGCTTTTTTCTAAACAAATGAGCAAATATCTGTCTTAATTAAAACCAAGCACAGCAAAAACTGAAAAAGAATCTCGTTATGAATAAAAACAAAACTTACTGCATCGCTCTTCATTAAACACAGAGTGAATAAGAGGATAAACGCAGGCATAGCAGATGCGTTAAAAGAGACAGTTCATTTTTAATAATCTGAAATTTATTAGTAAAATATTATCAGATAAAGTAAATGTTTATGTACAATATAATTGGAAATCCTAACATCTAAAATTAGCTTAATGTATCTTTCAGAGTTTCAGTATGCATTTTCGTCCAAACTGTGATCGTTTGTGACTTTACAATAATATCTTCCAAGTGTGAACATCTTCAACGTCTCTACTACGTTGTCATGTTGAAAAATAATAAGCAAGAGGGGAACCTCCACAGCATCTCAGCAAATTATTTATCATATCTAAAGATCAATTAAGCACTTAGTCATACATTATGGCCTCCAGTGCCAGATCTCAGATATTATTCAAATATACAAATAGTAATCAAAACTAACATTTGTTTTTTCCTATGCAGTTGCTGTTGCAATAACATGGCATCTGAATAAAGCAGCAGCTCCCCAGTTTAAGCATTTCTACTATACTAACTCATCTCAGTAATAACCAGATAACGTGTAGCGTGACTCAAATGAAAGCAAGTCTTTTTAATTCAAATATCTTAGTTCTTACATTTCAGAGAATTTTTTTTTTTCCCTGAAATCAGATTCTTTAGAAACAAGGCAGCATCTTCCCATCCCTGTCTACAGAAAAGACTACATTCAGGCCAAACTGTAAGAAAACCTAAGGCTTTAGGTTTTCCACAGCTCTTTATGTTCACGAATACATAGAAGACTGGGGAAATGCAGTGTGTAGGTAGGTAGTTTTTCAAGAAGTTTATAAGTCTTTCTAAAGAAGAGATAAAATATCTAAACACTTTGTTGCATATGTCTAACACTCTTCAGAATATTGATATCAAAGTGTATGTACAATAAAAAATATCTAATTTTCATTAAATGCCTGTATAAACATATTTCCTTGTCGCACTCCTCAGTGATTTCTACATGTAAATTGTTTTAAACGTGCAGTTGTCAGAACTTTGGGTTTATCTTCATACCTCTATTAGAAAACTTCATTTGCAAAAGAAAGTTTCCGACAAGATACACAAGAGCACCCTGATTCATATCAATAAAAGTATTAAAATTCTGATATATGTATTTGAAAATAATTTTGTATTTTCAAATAGGGATTCATAAACCGCACAGTTCTTATTCCAGTCGTCCTTGCTTAGCATCACCTATTGCTCCCCATACATCAAAGACAAATTCATCTGGAAATGCAAAGTCTCCAAGAGTTTCATCCAATGCCACTGCAAATTCATCTGGGTTTTTCTTGTCTCTTCCGGCTTCCACCATTGTTGCAGCTAAAAAGCAACAAAACAAAATAATGTAATTAATTATCACAAAAGTGACAGCTAACATATATGACCGAGATAGCTTTTTAATGTCCGTTTTCAAAACCAGGCAAGGTCATCTTAGGGAGATGTAAAGTTTACCTACTGAATTTACGATTCGATGGGAATTATGTACTTAAATTCCTCCATGCTAGCTACATTCTGGTCTGAAAAACAGGAGAGTTCCCTTGGAGTGCTCATTATATATACTTCTGTTTGTTTGGCAGAAATTTAATCTTTAATTCAACAAATTTTCATTTTAATCTTATTAAATTATATTCTGTATTCATTACTGAAGGCTCGTGAAACATCAGTCTAAACACAAGGTTAAACACAACTCTTGTGCGGTAAGACCCATGCCAGTTCATCACCAACTTCAGTGAGTTTGATGAGCTTGCTGATCTAAACCGGAAGACCGAAAGGCAAACCTGAATGTTTTCCTCCTCTAAACAACAAAGAAAAGATCTCAGTAAGTCAAGAGTTTAAAGTGGCCAAGTTCTTCACAAAAAGCCAAAAACCATAGGGTTTGAACACGGAAAACACCATACAGGCTGCATAATAGACACACGCAACCAAGCTAGTATGGGTTAAACCACGACCATCGGACACAGTAACGTTTGCAACTTCCTGAAAGAAGTCATGCTCTGAACAAATCATCATATGACCTCAGACTTCTTTAACTTTTCAGCTTAATTTTAATTAACTCTAACTTATTTTTTTTGACCCAAAACCCACCTCCAGGTAGTAAAGAGACTGAGGCATTAATTGTGAGCTGCATTATTCTTCTGCTTGGATCTACATATTTTTCTTCCATATCATCCAAACTAAAGAGTAACTCATTTCAGTACAGGAGATTGCTTCAGTTATTATTACCTCCAGCTCTGAAAAGCAAATCTTTAATTTATAGCCCCCTCAAGGCTGGGCAAGTTTGTGCTTAGGTGACTAGGAAGTGAAAAAGACCAGTTATTTCTGGAAGTCTCAGCCAGGTGGTTCAAATTGTGCAAAAGCAAGGGAAAGGCCTTGCTGCTGTGCACCATAAGCCAGAGCCACCAAAGACCAGGAATGTCTTGGTACCCAGGAAAGTTAAAGCAGAGAGGTCTGATAAAACAGAGACTCTGATATTCTTGTATACCCATGCTGTCTGGCATTTTCTCTTATTTAACACCCAAGTATCAGAATTTATCGAGTTGTAGAATTTAGTTTGGAAATGGCTACACTGGGGTTGCTTCTGAGGACTCAATTCTTCGCTGCTGTGTTCATCACTCACCTTTAGCCACTGCACAGTTTCTCAGATTCTAGGACAAATTACAAGTCTATCTCAAACAATACTGGATGCTGACAACCCAGGGATATTAGAGCAAACAAAAACTGTGATGGCTCAAACCTCTCTTGGTCATGGCACCTGCACCTCCCTGAAGGATGAGAAGCGTTAGCACAGGAGTTTCTCCCAGTTAAGCTACGCCAGGAGAACTACTGGCATCAGGCTATCATGGTTTGAGGGATGCAGAAGACTGTAAAACAGACTCGGCACAAACAGCACTACTGAACAGAGTTTATTTTCTGAGCTGTATCTCTGCTGCACAGGCTTTGTCCATACTCACAAGAAATGACAGTATTGTACAATAGATGAAACCCTCACACCGTCACTTCATGATTAGTTTACACACCTGCCTTAAACTGCAAGATGTCCTCCATCTTTTGTTATTCATCATGTAACCACGACTTTCTTCATAAGTACATAAAATCGTGCCATCAAAAAGTGTATGCACGTCAAAAAGTGTCACACCAGAGGATTTGATGGCTTCTAGCCTTTTCTCAGGGGAACATCCAAGCAGAAAACATTTATTACAATGCCTGAGAAAGGGAAGGAAGTTCTGAAGCCACAGAAGACCATGTTCACTGGGACAGTCTGTAGTCTACTGCATGCACTGGGTTGTATTGACATGGCAAAATCTCTCTGATAAAAAAGGAAAAGAAACTTGCCCTGCTCCGAAGTTTTATTAAATGTATTTAATATTATTTTGTTGACCTGAAACTCAGCTCAAGTATATTGACAGTTATGAACTTTTGGCAAACAGTGGTTACTGTTACTCAAACTTGTAACAAGCTGTGAGTAAACTTGAGCCATATTCCACATCATAGACGTCAGCAACAGTAATTCTGAAGAAATTTGACGTTTTGGTTTTAACCACGTTCAGACGTGAGGCTCCAAATAGAATTGCAGGGTGCCAAACCACCCAAAGCAGTCCAAAGAAAATTTACATAAATCTTAACAAATAAACTGCTGTGATCAACACAAGTCAAGTGTAACCCAGCTTCCCGGGCACCACCAGTAGTTCTCAAGGACTTTTAAGACCTGTTCCCTGCCAGAAGAAACTCTGTCCCTGTTGTGTTGATTCTGTCTGTGTCCCCTGTGAAGTTCCTGGGACTCTGACTCAGAGCAATCTGAATGGGAAACAGGCATTAAACAGGAGACTCTCATTCCTGACAAGCAGAAGACAAATATTTGTCCTATCAACACCACTCTACATCCCTTGACACCATGGCATAAGAAGGTACTTGCAGAGGGGCAATTCTGGAGATAATCAGGTGAAGAGCGTAATTTAAACTTCACAGATTTCTGGATATGAACCAGGATATGAAATTACTATACATAGACACCGGGAGAGGGTTGGAGGGAGAAGAGCTATGCAAGGTGACACAAAAGCAAACATGTCTGGATAGAGTTATTCAAAAGATTTTAAAAAAAGTTGCCATCAACAGAGCGAGGATCTAGACAAGTGTTCCAGCAGAAAGAGTCAGAGCAAGGAGTTTAGCCAGTTTTAAGATAAATTGGTCAAGATATATGAAAAAGCCATACGACACAGACAGCAGCAATAAAACAAGACAACACAGCATTATATTGCAGCCCAACTGCCCCAGTTGAAATCTCAGAATTACCCAGTAATAAACTGTCATTAACAGAAAATGTTACTTCCAACACAATATTCTTTGAAGATTGAGCTTCTCAAATTATGAAACAGAACCTTAAAAATAGTTCAATACAGATTTACCAAACCTGAAAACAGTTTAATACAGATTTACCAAACCCGAAAACAAAATCCACTAAACTTAGATAATCAAGACAATTTCCAACTCAGTCACACAGGAGTCAGAACGTCATCGCTGTATGAAAGCAGCGCCCTCAAATAAAAGTGTTTTCAACGGTATTGAGCAACTGTAATCAGCAATACCAGGGTGTATTTGATGTGCTATACTTATTGAAGCGTATTCCCCTTCCCAGATTCACCTGATGTAATGAAATACGCTTCTGTGGAGAGACTGCAGGACGGTCGCAGCTGGGAGTACGTTTTCGATAGCTTCGTGCTGTCCTCTAGTGTCGGCAGAGCTGTGCTACCGTACAGCAAACCCTAACGCAGGACGCGAGCCTCCTGCCCGATTTTCTCCAAGTTGTCCCACCGATGTCTAAAATGTGCAAAGCTGAACTCTCCTTCGTTACTTTCGTACATGCAGAAACACTACAGCTGGCCAGTCTTCTCCATCACCCAGCGCCCATATTCCTATTCCCCTGGCACTTAGCACAGACACGGGCTGGCACCTCCTGGGCGGAACGCGCGTGTTTACACAATGACATTCGCAACGAGCGATTCCCAAGGCAAATCAAAAACTACTGATTGCCAAGGCATTTAGCAGATACTTGCCAACTTGAAGAAAACTTTACTGGTTCTCAGAGGGTAACAGCTCCGTGCCAAATTGCCTCCACTCCCCTCCCTTTCCCCCTCTGCTTCTTGTAACAGCTGCACAATGAATGATTACAGGAATTTTACTCCAATAAAGTATTTTTCCACACTTCAGATAGCCCCAATTGTTTTCAGAGTTTTTTTTTTTTTTGAAACCTCACTTCAGGCAATGCTCATACCTAATAATTTTTTTACATAAAATGTTAAAAGTTCAGCAAACTTTAAAGTGATGAAAGGAATTAGAAGTCTTCCCAACTGAGAAGCTCAATATCAGGCTTTCCAGAATATGAACAAAGAACTAAGTTGTTTTTTTTAAAACCTAGTTCCTTTAAAATAACTTTAGAGATCTTTCACAAAATCCTTATCTTCACTTTTGATAGACACATGCGGGACAAGTCATGCCTGCCATTATTATCTACCTTACACAGCGGTTTTGCTACCATTATCCTATCCTGTAACTTCAAGAAAAATGTTTTTCAGGAATCTTAACAGAAACTTCAATATTTATTTAGTTGTAGTGCTATCAGAAACTTTGCCTTCATCAAAAGGTAACAAATATTATTATTCTGGCCTGACATTTTAAAGGAGCTAAAATTCATTTTCCTTACAACATGACAGGAAATGAAGCGTGTCATTGCAGTTTCCAGCGTGGCACTCAGGAAACCATTAGAAATATCCTTTCTTCTTGTTTCTTCTTATTAAGTACTAATTCTTCTTGAAGTGGAGGAGTTTTCTTGTTTAACCAGACCTGCTACCTTTCCCCTTTTCACAAAACTCCCATTATTCTCTCAGAGTAAATGAAGAGTCTAAACAAAATCCTTTGGGAAAAGAGGTCTGGTGACAGAAGGAGCAGAAAACAACAGATTCAGGGAGAATATCACTTTAGTAAAAGTATTTCAAGATAAAACCATCTATTCAATACTACTGGGTTGGATTAATGAGCCAAATGAAGCAGCTTGGATGACAAAAACCTTCAATCTGTTAGGACATTTTGACTAGATGGTACATTTGAAAAATAAAGTAGATTTGAAATTCTTCTAAACAGAGGTGTTCTAAATAGAACAAAATATCAGTGGATTAAGGGCTAGCCAAAAGATGCTGAAAGAAGAAAGTTGGACGCAAAGCCCATTTTGCCATCGTTTTTCCATCAGTAGCATTCTGGGGTTCAATCCCATACATCCAGGCTTCCTCTCACCCAGAATCTTTGGGATCAAATATAGTTCATAACAATTCAAGTCTCATCAATTTAAAAAATAAATGCCACCAGTATCTTTCACTAACACTGCTTCTTCAGTCCCTCCTATTAATCAACTCTTCATATTCCTTTACCAGAAAGCTCTGATAAGATTTAAAGCAACCTGAATTACCTCTGATGCATTTATGTTTTAAAGAAGGCTGAAGTCAAGCCTCGGCCCAATTTCTAATGTGCCCATAAAATGGCTGAGGAATACATTTCCAGAGCCAAGCGTCCCTTCTGCAGATTAAGTCCAGTTTTCAGTAAATTAGAGTAAAGAAGTAAAAAGGTGCAAGTGCATTCAAAAGGCAGGTATGTAAATCTCAACAGCATTTAGATCTCTGAAAATAAAAAACTGTGCAAAAAAAAAAAAGCGTATGCATTTCCATTAAATTATTTCCAAGTATTTTGCTCCATCTTAGGGATTTGTGTGTAGATCTAGTCATCTAGTCAGCCATTCTTGAAACTGTCAAGATACTTAACTACACAAACATTGAGGGCTTTATCTCATCTTTAATTCTGTCTGTAATTTTACATTATTTTTTCTTTCCTTTCTTTCTAACTTTTGGTTTAAAACTGGGGTACTGTTTTAGAATTCAATCACACCATGGAAGTGTCATTTTAATGGAGATGAAAGAGCAATATTAACTGACATCCAAAGCTTCTGACAAACAGAACTGCATGGGAGTGAGCAATGATTGAGATCTTAATCACTTGTCGGCTGTCGCATTGTGATGACTTGCATTTTCAACTAATCTGGCTTGAGTAATGAGTGAAATTTCTAGCTGAGTGGTGATTGGCATTCTTTGAATGAATCCTTTCCTCATATTTCATTTTCATGGGTGACTGATCACATCCAGCATATGAAAAACTGACATATGTTAATTGAACAGATTTGTGACAGGTGATTAGCTCTCCTTTCCTAAAGAGGCCTAGGGCTGTTTAATTGTTTAAAAACGATAAAACTTTTTTTTTTTGTCATCATCATTGGCCCTCGACTCTAAGATTTGAACTTTAGGAAATGGCTTCAAAGGTGCAAACTAAAGCTACGTAAACCCTCTAGTCTTTGATTTCTGACAGTTTTTCTTTGTTTCACTGCCTTTTTAGGAGAAAGGGAAGGAAGAGGTGAAGGCAAAACAACAATCCAGTTGGGAAGAAGAGAGTATCTTTGAGGACAAAGACCTCTTCCTTCTTCTGAGTTATCTTTTAAGGTGTTTTTTGAAGCTTTCCAAATTACATACGGAAAGATGAAGGACATTAGATCTCCGGGGGAAAAAAAAAATATCAAGGAATTAATGAGAAAACTCTAACAGGTGCTTGGAAATCAGCTCAGTCATATGTGCCGAAAGCTGAATGCTTCAGTCTACTGTACAAGAGCCATCCCATTACAGTACTGAGAGCGAAAAACACAGGGAACACCAGTTCCCACGGGAACTTGCTTCCCAGTCACAGAGCAGAGCATAGTACACCTCAATATCCCAAGAAACCATGCTCGAGCCTAGGATCTCAGGCTTCTGGGCTATGGCCACCAAAATCAGAACACCTACAGCCACTTATTCCCATAGGGCTGGGAGCTTGCGGACCTTGGAGGTAACCTGCAAGGACAGGAGTCTCCAGAAGCCTTGCTTGAGCTGGACTGTAACAGCTGCAGGACAAAAACAGCTCCCAGAGAGACGGCTGGTATGAGACTTGGAGCTTTGAAGCCTGAGTCAGAGATGGACTGAGCAGCAGAGGCTCCAGAAGAGTGACAGGACAAGGGATCCTCCCTAACCTAAACAGAGGGTCGGCACCACACAGGGCTCCCAGAAGCATATTATGTAGCAGAGGCATCATATCTTAGAGTTGCTGGGAACAGAATTTTTGATAATTTTTAGTTTTCTGGGAACTGGAAAGTTTAGGTATTACCTACAAAACAGAATTCACAAGTTTTGGGCAGCTCCGCTCTCTCTTCTGTGCCACAAAGCTCACCTCTACCTTAGGCTGGAGGGCAAATAATACTTTAGCTACACATTTTCCTATGAGAAAACTAGTAGAAGCTGCCAATCAAATGCTTGCTGGTAGAAGCAGCCAACAAAGGACTTTTGGCTATTCAGATAATCTCCTATTGTTCTCATTCTTCTGTGCTAACTGCTGCCTGTCCAACTCTCCTGCTTTGCCTTAACTTCATGCCAGACCTATTTTCTCTTCTGCTTTGCCTTCCCCACTTCTCTCTCATAAAAGCTTTCTTTTCAAGATCACTTTCCATTTAGCTTATCCTTTCCTAATTCTTGGCTGATTTTTTTAGATATTACCATAACAATAAATACCTTCCTGCTGTCTCAGTATTAGCAGTTGCACAAGACCCTACGAGGACTACACCAGCCACGGCTGACTACAGCAGGACTTCTTAGTCAGCTAAACTGCAGCTTCTTCCCATACAAACAGAAGTTCCTATTTAGTTTTTGTCAGATTAACAAAGAGAAGCAACAGCTGCATGGATGTCTGGTGCAGTTTTAAAGAACTTATGACACTGAGGTTGAATAGTCCCTTTCATTATAAATTGATGATTGTGATAGCTGGTAAATATTCTGGAAGCTTTCCCAGATTCAAACTGTACTGATCAACTTTGATGTGTCTAAGCCAAGGGGCAAAAGAGCAAAAAAGCAGACAGACATGCTTATCCTTAACAATCCTTAAATGCAGTACACACAAGCTCCACTAGAAAATATATGCCAGAAAGAATACAGTGATGACAGTTAATGGGAAACAACTAAATAATTCATGCAATAGTGTATAGATAACATGCAGGAAGAACAGAGGGTTAAATAACTACATCGTAACACTTGCAGTGAGAGACACTTTGTTTTATCAGAGACACGCATTTGCAGAAATACAGGCAAGTTTTTTGCGACTGCATGCTGGACAAATTTTGCTTCACTTATGTCCAGAGACTAAAGTACTTGAGAAATTATTTAATCTTATAGTAATGTATCTGTTAAAAACTCACCTAATTCAATATCTCTTATCCCCATGTATGTTTCAAGAAGCTCATCCACTTTTTTAATAGCTTTTTCCTCAACTTCAGTTGGCTTTATTGAAATAAAGGGAGAAAAAGAGCAAAAGTATGATTATATCCAGGCAGATTTCAAAATAACCAGCAATTCACCACTGATTATCTTTACTCCCATCCTAGTCACCTAGACTTACAAAACCTATGAGTAAAACACATTAGTCCACTCTT